GACTCACACCAGCTTCCACACTCTACCTCCTCGTCGACGCGACACTTACGATGACCGAATCGAAGGGATTGTGGCAGGCCAGGGCTGCTGCTGCTGATGAGCGAACTCTCCTCGGTACCTGCCAAGCTTTTTCACTCGGCTATCATCCCGTACAACCCCCAAGATCTGCTCGGCCGTGGAAGGCAGGCAGGGCTGCTGGAGTCGGGGGTAGGGGGTGATGGTGGTGGTCGCTCGCCGATGTTGGAGGAAGAGGGTAACGGGTAGGGGTACAACGGCCCGTGTGGGGTGGAGGTGTACCCCTGTATGGAGTACAAGGAATGGCAAACGAACGGGGGTGGTCGAGGAGAGAGAGCAGACGCGCGCGCCAGGATGCGAGAAGCGTCGAAGGGGTGGTTGGAAAGGCGACGGGGTGTTGGGAGGGTGAGGGCAGAGGCTCCCGTCACCGCTAGATATGGGTCACTCGGCGATCGATGCCGATATAGAGTCGCTGTATCGTCGGAGTCCGTTGTACGATCTTCCCTTACATCACTTCTCGCTCACTCTCGTCGACCTGGGGGAATGGAAAGTGGTCCTTCTTTTATTCTCGCCGCCGGGACACGCGTCGCGTCGGCTCGATCGCTCGCCGGCGTGTTCGCGGCGCGCTCACGACATTATCATCGGCGACGGGGGGGGCGACCGCAACGTTAAAGGGGTTCGATCGACCGTGCCAAACATGGCGGCACCGCCACCCTGGTGGCCGATACCCTGGAAGTCTAGTGACTTGACGAAATGGTTCGCGTCGCGGCTACATGGGGGTGTAGCTTTCACAAAAGACCAATCAATACGCAAGAGGTGATCCTACGATATCTCTACTCTCTCTCTCCCTCTCATTGTCACTCTTTCTCTTCTTCTCTCTGTTTTTCTACTTCTCTCACTCCCTCTTTCCGAAACTCTCCCGCTATCGACTCTCCATCCCTGTCTACTCTCCCTCTTCTTCGCCTTCCTCTCCACCGCCTACATCTATTTCATTTATCTTACTCTGTTCTTCGATTCTCTTCTATTCGTTTCATTCTAACCCGTCGTGCTTTCTCCTCTCGCGCAATTTTTCTCTCTTGGACGAATGGCCAATGTAGAATGGCACGGAGAATAAAGAGGGGGATCCGCCAAGATTCGGGGAAATGCCTAGTCTAATTTTAACACGACGTTGCACGCACGCATGCCTATCCAAAATTTCCCCGTGCGGAAGAGACGACAGTACCCTCTCTCGTCATATAAAACGATCTTGTCGTATTATCAGGAACGTATCAAGTTTCGTTCCTGTAGAAATTCCAAATATGCTCCATAGATGAATATGAATCCATTAGATGATTACGTTGATGTACCGATTGCATCAATCAATGACGATTCTTTCGGCGTTTAATTTTAATAACCTACAACAGATACAATAATTTTAGACATTTTAATCAATTCGTAAAAAAAATATTGTTATTAATTCAATAATATGGCATGCAGTTGAATGTGGAGACATAATAAAGTATTGTTTAGAAGTCTTGGCACATTGCCACGCAGACTAATTAGAATGCAATTTTCTCCAGTTACGTTGCTGCATCGTTAAAAAAATTGTATGTTTAAGAAATAATAGTCTACGTTCAATAATTATGCCTTCAACCGCAGATATCGCGATTAGATAAATTCACATGTGAACTGTGCGAGAGAAAGAGTTTCGCTGTGTGTACACGATACAGCAAAGAAACCGGATGCGTTGCAACGCTGATGGTCGCCACTGCGATTCAGGACTCGGCGCGACGCTGCGCAGGCGTCCGTTGACGTCATCGGGTCTAAGGCACGGGGTGTTATACGCTTATCAATGAACGTACGACGCCTACGGCGAGTACCTGTTCTCCAGCCAGCGCACCACCGGCGAACACATCCCTCCGCCGATCCTCCCTTACTCACCGCCCTTGCGACCGCGTGCCCTACGTGCCCATTCTCGTCGGTAGCCTTCGCGCTATCTGATCGCCGTTCATTGGCCAGGTGTACAAGAGCGATGGTTGAAAGCCAATACTGTGATCGTAACTCCCGCAACCTATTTTCTCACCAACGCATAATACGAAATCTGGTCGAGAGAATTGTGGATGATTGTGGACGAATAGAAATCTTAGATTTCTTTTAACTTTTTAATAAGAATTTATTGTCATAAATTAAAATCTTGTCTTGAAATTAAAGTGCTCATCAGGAAATATCATTTTTCAAGATAGACTTTTGAATTTCTATTTCAAAATTATATAATAATGTTAATGTTGATATTGAGATGTACATACCAAGTTGAACGTTAGTTTTACATTTATATGTTCTACAAAATTGTGCGACTTCCACAAAACTCTCTTATATATAATAGTCGCCGCTCGATGTATATCTTCTCTATTGAGTAATTTGAAGCTCAAATCGTCGGACCATGCGATTCGCTTAATCAAATGAACCACATGAGTGTCGCTTCGTCAGCAATTCGAACGTTTACTAATTAATATTAACATTTAGAAATGTCACATATGAGCTATATTATATCTTTAATGGAAGTAAACAAAAGATACTGTTTCTATATTTGAGGAGCAGACTTTCAAAATGCGTTTTGTCCGAAATTTTATTTTTTTAGTTAGAAATGGTGTAGTGTTCAGTGTCGAATGACTTATATTATAAACTATTCTGAGATGTTCAGAAAGCATTTTTTCATAATTAATTTATATGCTGAAAAATATAAACATTTTAATGTGCATTATGTTTTTTAACTAGAAACAAACAAAATGCATTTGTTTAACATTTTTAATAATTGTTAAGCAATTTTGTTTAATATTTCACATCCTACTGATTGACATATTATTATTTTCTGTAAAGTACGTAGTTTTCTTGTGTGCGTAATTTTTTTCTTCCTCGTTTCCTGAAAATTTTGGACAAAACGCATTTTGAAAGTCTGTTCCTCATTTTTAATTTTCATAAAATTTAAAATAAATATTTTTTCAGAATGATTCTAGTGATTTGTAAAAATAAATAAAAATTCCAGTAATTATCATGGTTACATGAATATTAAAACCTATTTATAATTTACGCCAATCTACAGATAAAAAAACATCCTGTTTTCGTCGTGTGATTTTAGCGAAAGAAAAGTTTGTATGTCCGTTGATGATATCCGCTAATCTCACACGCTTTCGCTTTCACATTTTTCACTCTACGCGAAACATTTCACGATAAGCATAGTCATCATGGTAGCAGACTCCAGTACCCAGCAAACGAAAATGAATTGAAATGAATTGGAAATTTTCAATCCATCCGAATCCATATTTTTAATCCATAAAAATGAATTGGATTTCATATAAAAAATTTATATACATGTAAAAGTTTAAATAAATTAAAGGAGTAATTACATGAAATTCTATAATTATTATTTTAAAACTTTTATACAAAAAATATACGCCAGTTTTATAATAAAGGAAACATATTAATATAAAATATACAGCGATATTAATATAAAATATAAAAGCGATTAATTTATTAATTCAAAGTAAGGAATTTACATATGTGTGTAACATTTATTGTACATATTTACGTAGTTCTTTTTATGTTTCTTTTAATTATTAAATGAAGTAGAATTTATGATATATTTTAGAGTACAACTTTTTTTTAACTCAGTTGAATTAAAACGAAAAATTTCTTATTCATTCTAAATAAAATAACATTCATGATGCATTTTTAAATAAAACAATAGATTTTCTACTCACAATTTTGAATAGTGTTCACGGCCCATTTTAAGAAAAACTTTTTTTATTCAATTGATTAAAAAACTGCATTTCCTATTCAGAATTTTGAATTTAACAATATTCATAATTTTTAGATTTTAATTGGATTGAAAAACTGCATTTCCTATTCAGAACTTTAAATTAAGCAGTATTTATGATGCACACAAAATACTATAATATTATTTTTAAATTGAAAAGCATAGAAATATACTCCATGCCATTCCTATAAATGAATAAAAATGCATTCAAGATTGAAAAGGATTCATTTTAACATTCATGAATCCGTATTTCTGAAAATCTGAATCCATTTTTATCCATTTCAATTCATTCTCGTTTGCTGGATATGCAAGTGATTCCTGAATCATTGCCTGTAAACAAAAAAATGATTTGCAAAATATTCATTTACCGAAAATAAAACTAATTCAATCTAAGGTCGGTATTCGCAGTCGATTCTTATATATTTAAGACTGTGGTGTCTTAAATATAGTTTCTTATCTCATAAATCAACCAGACAGAGTCGTATTAGCATGTTAAGACATTACTACTTATTACTTATTAAGACAGTCTTAAAATAAGAACCGATTGTGATTATTGGTCTAAGAGATCTTTTAGATCTCTCTTTCACTCTTCTGTTATTTTTTAAAATAAATATTACATAAATAAATAAAATCGTAAATCTTTTTTTTTTGGCAAATGAACATCTCTAAGAACCGGTTGTTTTATTTTTAGATAAACTATGTGGTAATTTACTTATTAGATAAACAAAAGAGTAAAAAAGTAAGAACATAAAAGAGTAAGAGAGTGAGCTAAAGTTTACAGAAAGGTAGAATAATCCAGTCTCTAAGTTTAATTAAAGGAATTACACCACTATTACGTATATTGCCTGTATGATCTTCTTTTGTGATAGCCATTGATAATGATCGCTTTTTTTATATGTTATTCACACATTTACTTTTTCATTGGATAATGTCGCAATTACTTCCGATACCACATATATACATAAGCGGGGATATTTTTTTTTACCATGCGCGGATCACTACAATAATCGTCAACACGAGTGCGAAGTACATTAGTCGCAGTGTGTTCAATCGCCGAACGTGTACTCCGTGAATGTATTTCTGTCGAGTGCAATTCACCGTTCAATTACAACATATATTATCTTTAAAAAAAAACGAAGATTTTTAAATATATTTTTTCATATATAAATACGTTAAATATATTTTTAAATTTAGAATAAAACATCAGAATAAAAAATAACTGTAGAAAAATACGTTTATTAAGTGTTATCAAAAGTGTTAAAATCACTTTGTTAATAAATAAAAAAATAATAGATTCTGTACGGCAACGAATATCGTGCGATTAATCAATTGTGAAGAAGAAACCGATTAAGAATAATCAACGACATTTCTTGATCTTTTCAGGTATTAAAAAAGTCAAATTGTAACGTGTGGTATAGAATTAAATGTTGAATGTATGTAGAATTAAAATCGTGAAAGTACAGGGTCCGGCAAAATGATCTCCCACATTTTAATCTTTAATAAAAACGCCATTGTAAATGCTATTTAGATTTTATTTTTATTAACTGAAAATTTATGCTATGCCATTTGTTTTTATTATTTGAGTTTTAAAAATTACAGAGTCCAAGTGGCGACCATTTTTTTCGATACACATTCGAAGCTGATTTCTAAAAGTTTCCATCACGAGCAATAATTTGAGGCGATATTCCTGTAATTTCTTGGTGTATTGCTGCTTTCAATTCGTCAATGGTTCGGGGATGGTGTTGAAAAACCTTCGTTTTCAGGTAGCCCCAAAGGAAAAAGTCGCATGGGGCAAGATCGGGTGAACGCGCAGGCCACCCAACGTCTCCACGTAACGAGATTTGCGTCGTAATCACAGATTCGTTACTTTTCATAAATGTTTCGATAACGAAGGCACGATGCTCGCCCGTCCAATTCATGACGACAACTGAAATGGCAAGGCGCGAGCTACCAACCGACTACGCTAAGCTCCCCTTCTCTTCAGTGGTTCGGGGACAATGGCGGTGCAAAATGTAGGAGATCATTTTGCCGGACCCTGTATAATATATTAAAGTCATTTTATTCAACGGATATAAATATCTTATATTTGTGTTCTTTTAAAGTTTCATTCGTCAAATTTTTAGTTATATAATCCATTCTAGTTCAAAAGTCATTATATATGTAGATAAGAAAGATAATGATCTGTGAACATGTATGCAGACCAAAATGATAATATTTTTTACATTTTTATTCTTTAGAGTAAAGGTCGGTTAGTGATAATCTCTCACTTCTTATATTCAGTCATAATTCCATATAAGTACGTAAGTCAGTACAATGTTATTAATACGTAAATTACGTATTAATTATGTACATTAATAGTGCGCACTGGTGCACATTAAAGCCGTTGTACACAAGTTAACGTAAAAATGTGCGTTTAATAAAAATATAAAAACGGATTAAAACCATGAAATTCTTAATATATTTTATTGTGCTGTTAAGTAAAATCTGTATTTTATAATTTTCAATATTTGCATTTTATTTTTACACAAATTAAATCAGTGTACAATGGCTTTAATATTCACTGGTACATATTGCGGTCAACCGAGTTCGTTATAAAATAAATATCATTATATAAGATCTTCTTTATCAGTGAATTTTTCTGAACTCGTGTTTGTTTCATTTCAATTTATTGCACCGCGTACAGTTTCAGAGAAACTGTTCGATAAAACCAGTGCAAAGAATTGTTCGATAAAAAATAGATTTATGTTTTCAATGTTTTGACAACGTTCACAATCTAATTTCCCACGTATATTATACAAATAATAATCTTAGATCTGTATTCAGAACGCGCTTTTATCGATAAATATATATTTTTATATCTACAATTCTATAGTATACGTAATGTTAATTACATGCTGAATACACGCTAACATCATAAAAACGCATTCTGAATACGGGCCTTAATTTCTTAATGCTGAATATTTTAATGTTAAACTCAGTATTCTACAATGTTATACTTTTAAAATATAAGATTAAGTGCCAGAAATAATCTTAGTTCAAACATTGAGATTGCGCAATAGTAATTATTGTGACTCAAGCGAAATTACATATCAGCTATTTGTAAGCGATTCTTACATTTGCGAAAAGTTCTATTACGCAAGAAATCAATGGTCCGTATTTCGGCCATTTGGCTTTGGGTTTTCTTTATTTCGCTCGCGTGTCTACATTAATAAGAAGGCTATTAATTTTAATAGATAATTTTTTTACTCGTTACAATAAAATGAGATTATTGTATACAATTATTATATAATGATTATTAAAATTACTAAATTATATACAATCATATTATAATATGATTTCTTATAGGATGAGATTCGGTCACACAATCGAAGACTCGCAGAAGAAATATCCAGAAATCACAGACGAGATTTTGGATAATCTGCAAAAATGGGCGAATGACCGAGGCCTTCCCAATATTCCCAAAGAACAATTGGCGTTATTTACGCACAGTTGTTACTTCGACATAGAGGCTACGAGACGATGCATGAACGCTTACTACAGCATACGAGCTACGACCCCGGAATTGTTTAACAATAGAGATTCCAGCCTCGAGCATTTGCAACACTCTTTGAGAATCTTGTACGCACTTATAAGCAACTCTTAAATAATCTTTATTTATTTAAACAATAAATAAACATGAAAGAAAAGCTTTATTTTGTAAATAAAAGGGAAGTTTTATCTTTCGCGTTGCATATGTACAATTCTCATATGGCAGATACCAGAAATTGCGGAAATTATTGGAAAAAAACTTTTAATATTTATTTACGCAGATTGAGCTCTTCAATTCGATGCGACTTATGTTAATGAAAACATATTAGATATTGTCTGTCTTTGCTTCAATGCAATGATTAATTGTTACAAATGTCACATGGATGGACAGCGATTTTTATCTGTCATTTTTCTCTTTTCTTTCGATTCATCTCGTCTTTTGATTATGCCTTCCAATAGTTACTTTAATTGCATATCTTTGACTTAGATCTTTGTCGCTATAATTTCCACATCGCTCAATTACGCATGCAACTCACCTAGTACTGATAAGCGTCTTGATAATCGAGAAAAATCTTTTACTTTGTCTTGATTTCAAAAAAATTATTTGATCAGATTCAGTATTCGCATATAACAATTAAAGTTGTACGACATTTGTGCAATAAATAACGACAATGAACTTTTCTATTCGTTCGATATTCGTTCGTGGGTGTATATATACTCGGCTTAATACATTAAAATATGTTCAAAAAGTTTAAATTTTATCTGTGTTGTAGGGAATTCGCGATACTTCCCAAGCCTGATCAAAATGGTAACTGGATATTCATTCACCGATTGGTGGATCCACGGCCATCTCAATACATATTCAACGATAGCCTCAAGCTGCTGTTCATGTCCTATGACGCGAACCTTTATACGAATGGTTGTTCGGAGGGATGTATACTTATTGTGGACATGGCTAAAATGCGATTTGGTCACTTGATCAAATTGTCGATAAACAACCTTCGCAAAAGCTTGGAGTATGTTCAAGAAGGCATGCCGATGAGGCTTAAAGGGATCTATGTGGTGAACGCGATCTGGTTCGTAGACAAGATCATTGCGCTTATGAGACCATTTATGAAGCAAGAGCTATTCGAAATGGTAAATTGATTTACGATTCGCTTTTTAGGATTAAAACTCTAGGTCGCGCACCAAAGCGCGCGCACCAGGGGCGCTATATATTTAACAAAAATCAAAGAAATTAGATAATTTAACTCTTTCATGTCTGATGGCATAAATGTGCTAAATCTTCAAAAATTCATACTTTTCACAAAAATAAAGATAATAACTTCTTCCTAAGCATGTTGAAGATAAAGGACAATTAGGCTTCTATTTTATTAACATCGCCTGTCAACATAATGTAAAGGCAAATTGTTGGCAGAATTGTTGAACAGATTCTGTTGACATTATCTGACGCTAACACAAATCTGCTTTGTTTCTTTCTCCATTTTGTATTTATTTCTGCTTGTAGATTCTGTTACGTTTTTTCTAGCAGTCAACAATATTATTGCATCTGTGGTGTTATTTTTTAATTTTTGAAATAATAGATTATAGGAACATCGTCGTAATAATATATATACTTTGGAGCGTGAAATTGTTACTCTTTTTAAAATTAATAATAATGATTAATAATATAATATTTATAATAACATGCTATTTATTGATAAGATGCTATTAATATTTCATCGGTGAACCTAATCAGAGGCATGTAAAAGAAACATATATGCTAGAGAAAGAAGGGAGAATAATTATTAGATTCTATTCTTTTTGTAATTGCCAATTTTTAACTTAAATTAGATTAAAAATTATATTTTAAAAATAAAAAATTTGTAACTTAGTCTTAACTCGAATCGGAATTGTACAAATCGAAAACACTCAGATTCATATATATAATATGCAGTTACGTATACATCGTGAATATGCATTTCTGCGCATGATTGACATTAAAAAGATACATTGATATTTCTGATTTCATGCATCCGGCACGCGGTTACGTCAGCTCGGCGATTTACAAGTTGACTTTAATTTTCATTACTCCCGCAGATTCACATTTACTCGGGTGATATCTCCGACTTGTATTCTCATATATCGCCTGAATGTCTGCCAAAGGACTATGGTGGAGAATTGGACTGTATCGCAAACCTTCATAGTAAGTACATACAATGGCAACTCTTGCGTAAATAGCATTAAAGTATCTACAACATGTTGAAAACTATATAAAAGAATTTGTCTTATTATTAGAACAACTTTGTTGAAAATTATTAACATCATATATTAATATTGATCATTTTTATTTGCAGAAGCACACTGTATGAAATTAGATCAATTGCGTAATTATTTCCGGGAGGAGGAAGCTCTGTTCCGCAATTATTCGCCTAATAACGCCAGGGCAGCGACTAAACAAATTATACCAGATGCTACCAAAAATTTAAAAGATTAGGTATCATAATAGACATACATTACATGTAAAAAAAATAATATTAGTTAATTGATGTGTAATGTATAGATGTAACAAATATTATAGCATAAAGTCACTTACTTTATTTATGTACAGTTAAACTATTAATGTACAGTTAAATAAAAATATAATTGCGTAATGATTGCTGCTTTTTAATTCTCTCTAAAATAATTGCGTCCTTGATTTCAAAGGAGATGCTTCTCATTCTTCGTATTCCTTTCTACATTCTTGCATGAAATTAAATATACATTACAAAATGAAAAATTTTTTCAAGGTCTCATTTGAAAAACTTAAAATAAATATAAGAATTTTTAAAATAAATATAAGAGCTTTTAGAATTACAAAAAATTTAGGAAACATCATTCCAAAACTGCATATTAATTTTCAGTAACAAATTCAATTCTTTGTTGAATTTTAAATTAAAATGCGTGGAACAACGCACTTTGTGAGAAAGTTAAAATTAAGATATTATATGAGATTTTTTGTTCTAAAAATGGCTTTGACCATTCTATTTTTTAATCAAATAATGCATAAGTAACTGAACTTAAAAATTTATAAAGACAACTGCAATTATTTTAATTATTTTAATTCTTCTTCGAAAAATAGCTTTAAATATATTGATTGATACATCCGAAATTAAATTTCAAATATTTGAAAAACCTTATCAAAGTTACTGGAAGAATATATTTCGATAAATGTTAAATCGAAATAAAGTAAATCACAAATTTAAATTTTATGGCTTAATTCTCGATATTAGAACATAAAGTAAAATTGATGAATATTTCCGGAAATTTGAAACTATCTTTTAGTTCATAAAAAATTTTTTTTGCAAATATATAACAAAGAGATATTTATATATACATTTATTTATTTTAACAGTTAATATAAAATTATATTGTCTGAAAAATTTCTTATCGTCGGTAACTGTAAACAATGTCGATAATTATCTATGATCGGTGAAGTTGACAGGAATATTATCGATTATACATAAATTATCGGCTATAGTAATTATGATAATTTGTAATTATCGACTGAAGAAATAAAATAATTTAAATTTTCAAAAATCGACAACATTAATAATTAGATAAATATAAAGGAGACGACTGAAATCTTCACGGTTATTAATAATTCTAAAATTTTTCAAAACTTTATGCTTGAAAATTCTCATTGCAAACATAAACAGAAATTCATAAATTAATAAAATATCAAAGACACAACTGATTAAGAGATACAAACCCAAATTTTGAATTTCGCAATTTTATAAGCTCTAATTACAATTTTTTTCATTATTTCCGCTAGCAATTATTATATCAAGAGCCTAAAGTACTGACGCCATCTATGGAGATTTCTTTCTTTTCAGGAAAAAGGAAAAATCAGAAAGCTGAATGAGTATTCTCGACCTCTACAGAATCACACCATGCAAATACGATTCGCGTGCTCGCATAATGTTTATATTTGTTTGTACATAACCTTTCAGATCAGTCGAGCATTATAGAGTAGAGATGCCAAAGTTCCTTATCCACTTTGCTTTGGAGATACTCGACTTGTTATCATCTGGTGATGCTGAAGACGATCAACGCCACTCGTTCTCTTCGTTTCATCTATCGCGATTCCATCTGAAAATTTTTTGATTCTAAATAACGTGAACTAATGCGCCATTAAAGTAATAGTGAAATTATGGAAAGAATTTAGTAATTTAATAAATATTTAATCCATCATTATGTAATATCGGCTATCGAATCCAATTGACATCTTCCTAACTCGTGAATCTAGCTGTGCAATTTTGGAAATAATCGTGCAAAATGTTAATTTTGAGATTACTACGTAAGATTGGTAGGAAGTGGTTTAACATACAGAAAACCACCAGACAGGGCGTACAATCTGCGAAAGATACAGTTTTCCGTGGTGGTATTATTATCATTAGCACTATTTTAATAGTCTGGCTGTCTATATTTCTTTACACAGTTTTTTACTACTCCTATATGCCCAGCATGTCATATGTGCGTCCTGTACATTTGCAATTCAAGTAAGTTCTACATTTTATGTGTTAGTTTAAAAGTGTGATGACGATAGTGATAATGTTTAGATGAGTTGTACTTTTTAAAGATAACAAAATCTAAGAAGTGAGCAAAGTTCATAGTACTATATATATTTTCATATAGCTAATATTCATAAAGTATCTAATAACATCTAATATTTGTCTATGCATGATTAAGATATCAATTAAATCGAATTATGTGTTAATTTACTATTCATATTTATTTAGATCGTGCGACGAAAAGAAAGGAATATGTAGCTTTCCACAAGCTCATGTACAATTGACTAAGAGACAGCAACTTCTGATGATAGGGCAGCCATACAAAATGAATTTACATCTAGAAATGCCAGAATCGACAGCGAACAAAGAGCTCGGTAAAGTTTTCAATTTTATTCTGTAAGAATGTTATGTTCTCAATTAATATGAACTAGAAATTGAATATATACATGCATATATACCA